ATTAAGTCTCAGAAGGTTATTTGTTTACCATCAGTAAAATTATGAAGTGTGTCTAAGTCACCTAGACTACTTTGGCTTCTTGATCTTTATGGAAAAGGTCTTTATTTGATCTTAATTAAAAACAAGAGTTCTTCATGAAGCCATTGCTTCATGGTTAGAATAAAACTTCCATGTGATCCCATATCAAACTGTGGTCCTTTTAAATATGATGATTTAAAAATGTTTGTGTTTGTGTGTAAATTTATGCATATGTATTTGTGAATCTAGACCAGTGACATTAAATTAGATGTGTCATTGTTCCATTTTTATTTCCCTAGCCTATTATTCTCCTGTTTTGCAGTGCTCTGCAGGTCAAAGGAAAATGCCAAAGAGATTATATGGAAAAGGAGGGGGAAGAGGGGAAGATGACTGTGCTTCATATAGTCTCAAACATTGAAAAGAAACCCATCCACATGACTGTTTTTGATACAGCAGTTAGGATTGCAAAATCCTTATTTAGTCACGAACATTTCTTAAACAAAAGGAGAATTTAGGACTCTTAATTCTTATTTTGTAAGACTTTGGCCTAGCAGAATTGCAGTGGAAATGTGCGTGCTGCCATGGACTATCATCCCTCTCCCCAGCCCATGGCTGGTGGTAGCTTCTTGATTAACACCATGGAAATCTGTAGAGTTAAATAAGTACAATGCTACTCAAGACGAGCGTGTCTGATGGTATCTAAACTTTAGCCTGTAAACACCACTTTCACAATGTTGATTTTTAAGCTTGGTTCCTTTATTATCACTACCAAGTGTCTGAAATGTATGGACATGTGTCCTTGATACTACGTCAGGCCACGTTTGGTGTTGTGCAAGCAGGAGATGGAGGTACAAGAAGTCCTGACTTCTCTGAAGGCAGTGTCCAGCCAGGTGTAGTGCACAGCAAAGACCTCATTCTCCACTTCTCCTCTTGCTTCTGGGGAATGGGACCTCCCTGCTGGCTTGTTGGGACATTGTAAGAGGTTCTGGGTTCTAGGATGGTGGCCTGAGCCCACAAAGCCCATGCCAGAGCAGGAGGGCAGCAAGCTGGAGGTGAGCAGGATCCCCTTCACCTGTATTTACCCCTTCCTGCAGGAAACCTGTTGACCAAGTTGGTCTTTTGGGTGGTGGTCACCTGTCCCCAGGGACTCAGAGAAAGGTTTGCAGGGCATACAGGTGGTGTTCTGAGAACCTGAAAGGCCTTTTGAACTGGAGTGGCTGAAACCTATGACAGTAAGTTTAAAACTGTAATGGCAGACAGCATTTACCTTTCTGAATAAATTCAGGTGTTAGAAATACCTAATTTGTTTGTACTGCTCTCACTTCTTGCCATGCCAAGGAAAGTATGCATCTTGGGGCTTTATTTTCATATGCACATTCTGTTTACATAACCAGGACATTTTATCAGCCAGAACCGATGTTAACTGACAAAACAAGAGGGAAATTTTCATTCTGTGCATGGTGATATCACAGAAACAATGTGTTTGAAGCCTTGCACTTCAAAAATATGCCTGTGAGGAATGGAAACCTCCAGGCTCATATTGTAAAAACGTGAGTCACAACAACTATTATCTCTTAAGAAATGGCATTCCAGCTCTTTGATTCAGTCATTGATGATTTCCCTTTTTAAGTTGTGGTTCTTTCTTACCCTTTTAAGAAATGTCTGGGCTAACCCTGGCTATTTGTAGAAATGTCTGCAATTCATAGATTAAAAGAAATTAGACATAGAAAGGACCCATGAAATTATCTTGTCCATTTCCTGAAAGCATATGAAATTGAAGAAGAATTGTGCTAAGTATATATATATATATATTAAAATTTGGAACTTTAGCTTATATACAATATGAAGACAAAACAAGTCAAGAATTTTCAATGGTAAGGATGCTGAAACATACTTTTTATTTAAATTAAATAGAAGACTTGAAAAAGTCTAATGAAGGTTTTGCAGGATTTTCCAATTCTTTCTAGGCAGTTACCTCTCTGGAATTTGTAGATAAAACTGAAAATATCTGGTTTTGACCAGTCTGAATTTGATTCAATTTACTAATAAGAGAGAACTTTGAGCAAAAATAATTCTCTTTAGAAAAAATAATTAAAACATCTGATTTTGATTAGGTTTTTTCTGGTTATTTTATCTCCCTCACCATCCCCCATCCATTTTTTGTTTCTATTTTTTAAAAATATTCAGCCAGTTCTGTTGCCGGAATGGCTTCTCTTGGAAGTCTTCAGGAAGTCTGCGAAGGATGCTGAATATTCTAGTGGATATTGTAGTTTTTTGTGTTCAAGCAACACCCGCGAAAACCGTGGTGCTTGGCAGAGACATTCCACTCGTTCTCTGACATCTCAGTAAGGACTTGGTGCCCCTCATGCTGTATGACCAATGCCTCCAGCTTGGAAGTAAGGAATGTGGCATGGAGGTGGCTGCCACCAGTTTTCCAGCCAAGGGGGTGTCTGTGTAGGTTGGAGGCAGTTGCCCATCCCGTGCTCCGAAGCACCTGAAGCAGGGAGTTGGTGCAATGTGGGTCTGGAGCACCTGCAGATGTACAGGGGTGTTAACAAATAGTAGTAGTCTTTCTTGCACACGCCCAGATTCTACAGCTGAGGGGTTTTCTCAGTCAGAGACAGCATCTCTGTGTTTAATACCACTTATGGACCTTTTGCCCTTTTATTTGCCTTGTGGCTTTGTGAATCCTTGTCATTTATGACCAGTAAGTTTCACAGGATGACTCTGCACCATGTGGAAAGTGGCCCCAGTGTTTGTTTCAAACCTGCTGCTCTGTGATTTCATTCGAAGTTTCTCCATTCTTGTATTATGAGAAAAAGCAAACAGTCATTCCCTGTTCACTGTCTTTACAGAGCTCATTATTATCTGGACCTCAGCTAACAGCTCACGATGTTCTCCTCTCTGGTTTAGAGACTTATTCTGTGCCCTTCCAGCAGTGATGATCAGCCACCGATTTTCACTGTCCCCCTCAGCACTGAGACAGGTTTCATTTTGAAGAAACAAAAATTGAAAGGACAAAAACCAGATAATTTTCTGACCACCTGTATTGATGTCATCTATAGAAAGCGAAATTCTATTTGCTCACACTGGTGCTGAGTCACAAAGCAGTGAGCATAAGAAACTCAATTTGTGGGAAAGCTTCTAATTTCCTGTTTTTCAGGAGGAATGGGATAAAACAAATGACATGGAGGGGAGAGGGGAAAGGAATAAAGAGAATAAATCCAAAAAAAGAAGAATATCAGAATACTCAAACGCTGGGAAGACTAATTCATTTTAGCCCCGCTTGTTCAAACCAGCAGTAATACTGAGTATAATGTACAAGCTTCAGTAAATCATTCCTATATGATAGACTGTGATCAATGACAATTTAATGAATTCATTTTAAAATGAAGTCAGAATAGGAAAAACAGTAGTTATTTGAAAGAGTACTTTACTCAAGTAAATTGAGTCAATAAATATGCTATTTGTCATGCAGAGTCCAGTTAAAGTCTTGTTTGCTAACAAAAATGCTGTCATCACAGAGCCTAATAGACACAAGCTATCTGGAACTATCCATTGTAAATAGACAAATACCATCTGAAAGCAGAAAACAACAATTGTGGCTGAACAAAGAATTGGATCCTGCTCGTTGCTTAATGCAATAGAGTAGCCCACCTCAAAATCTACTATTTTGTTTGTCACCAACATGTATTCTGATTTAGTATGAATGGTCTGCTGGTGGCAAAAAATCAAGGTCTGTTTTTCTTCTGTGAAATGAGTTTTAATTGTTGCATAGTGAGGGCTTCTCTTGCTGGAAAAACATGCCTCTAAAGTCACTATTAAATTGCAAAATACAGCTTCAGTGAGTTGGATGGATTTGTGCACACTACTAGAACAGGGATAAGCTACATCCTTTTTCAAACAGTAGTTTTACATTAATTTTCACAACTATACATGTTTAGTGCAGATACAAGAAGCCTTTTTGTTCGGCTGTGCTTTTCACACTTGGCTTTATTCATATGAGTTGAAGAGATGTGGCAATTCTCACTTGTTTTCATTCAGGAGGAGACTGGAAGTTTTAACAGTGAAGTACCATAAGGCCAAGATGGTCTTGCTTCACAACTTTGGGTTAGAATCACAGAATCTAAGAATATCCTGCATTGGAAGGGACCCATGAGGATCATCGACTCTTAACTCCTAGATGTTCAAATCGGTATTGAATGGAAGGAGCCTGGTTTTCAGATGTGATGAACTGGCAGCAGTGGCTATTCAGCATCTTGGAAGCTTGACGTGCTCTCATGAAGGTCCCAGGGCTTTTTCAGGCACATTTGGGCTTCCAACATCCTTCAGATTGCAGGGCGTGGAGGAAAAGAAAATGCTCAAAAGTTTTGACAGATATCTTGAAGATGGCATTTCCTGTCCCAAAGGAAAATGAAAATTACATTGCAGAAGCCTAAGACAGAGATTATGAAAAATTTCTATTGGATTTAAGAATCTAAACTTGACCCTTCACTCTTTAAATTTGGAATAGAACAGCTGGGGCATTTTTAGATTTTGCGTCATGTGGCCGGAGATCGGCTGATTTAAATCTGCCCTGCAGTCATCTTAGGCACATTGTTCACCCACTCCCAGAGCTGCATTTTCAAAAATGAGTTAGGAATCCGGATCTCTGTGGCTTTCAATGAAACTTAAGCTTGTATGAATCTGTTACTCCTTAGTTTGGATTTAGGCTCCTGAATGACTGAAAAATTGAAGAGTATTCTGCGCTCTACCTACAAAGACTTTTCAGCTCTGACCATGTGTGATTCCTTATTGAAATTACAGTTTCAGTAATTTTTGTTTTCCCGGATGTTCTATTAACCACATAAAAACAGATGAAGAGTTTCCTGATAATCAATAACCTACAAGTTATTTGTTTGTTGTTTGGTTTTTTTTCATTCTGATGGCTTTGTTCTTCTCGGTTTTCTCCCGCCACTAACTTCTTGGTAATTTTATTTCAGCTGTTTCCACTACTAGGAGTAAAGACCAGTAAAGACAAAGCAGGATGAAAAGATGGCTGACTTCTTGTTACCACCGGGTACTAACAGCTTCCACCGGTTCACGCCTGAGTCCTTGGCTGCCATCGAGAAACGGATCGCGGAGAAGCTTGCAAGGAATGCGAAGCAGGAATACAGAGAGCAGCTGGGCGAGGAAGAGAAGCCTCAGCCTCAGTTTGATTTGCAAGCTTGCAAGAAGCTGCCCGATATCTATGGGACTGTTTCTCCAGAGCTCATTGGGGAGCCCCTGGAGGACATCGACCCTTTCTACAATGACCGCAAGGTGAGCCCCAGCCAAGTGTCCTCCTTGGCTGCTGCTAAAGCGCAGCCACCATCTCTGTTTTGGGTGCTCTGGTTTTTATCTTTCTACAGCCAGTAAAAATGTTTCTTTTCCAGATTAAGAATCGGAGTTTTGGCATGAGCAAGGCTCCCAGAAAACATCTAAGCGGGAGGGCAAAGAGGGATAAAAAACAAAATTAGAACTTGTGTGTTTTCAGATAACCCTGAGTATGAATATACAATATCTGAAAAGAGCAGAGCAGTAGCTGAGTTAAATTAAGCCAGAGGTTTTATCTGCCCTATCTTGCCTACTGCATGAGCTGTGACTTTTCACAGGTCTGTTGTTTATCACTTAAGCCCCTTAATGTTAAGGGCTTCTGGGTGACTTGAGCCTTGTGCAAGCACTCTGCACAAGAGCAGAAGCAACTCCACAACCGTTCCTGGAGAGCAGCATTTCTGTTCCTGCTGAGGAATATTTCAATTCCATTTAAGATGACCAAAACAGAGCTGAAGGGAGATGTGTGAGTAGCGTGTGCAGTGCTGGCACTTTGCAGAAGGGTAAACTTCATCCCAAAGTGAGCATCACCTGATGAGGGATCACGTGTAGGCTGGACCAAAGCCACAACAGCGCAAACAGCTTTTGTCAAAAGGCTGTTGACAGCAGAGCTGGGTTGATTGCTTACTACAGTTTGTTCCCCTTTCCAAACATTTTGCAAAATGGCCAGCAAAATAAAGTTTGGAAGCACAGTGCATTTTTAGGCAGCTTCCGGTTCTTTCGGGTACTTATGTTCCTGATTTTGGGCTATGCTATTTCCTCTAAACAATGTTGGCCATAATGCTACTTCTATTAAAACAATGTAGAGGCAGGTGCTAGAGGTACAGAATAAAAGTTAAATGGATAAAGACAAATAGATTACTTACCTGGAAGGGCCAGAATTAATTTACCTTTTAATTTGCCTGCTATCCCCAGGCACGAGCAGCAGGATATAGATTTGCAATTTTAGTGTCATGAAGTATTTAAACCCAAGGTGGGTGATTTGCTTAGATTTTATATATTGGGTGTCCTGATTCCGTCTCTGAGTGAATATTAGTTCCTCTGTGCTTGTTGGGGCATCTTCAGAGCTCTGCAAATTGGGTCAGCATCCAATTCACCTTTGCTTTGAATTTAATGTAACTTACAGTATTGTTTTCCTCTGCCCATAATTATCTGAGTACAATGAGAGTGCCTCAGCACCAGGGTCAGATCCTGCCATGGAGCTGTGCCTCGTGCACCTTCTTACTTGGTGAGACAAAATACATTGAGAGCAACACAGTGCTCAAAGTAGAGAAGGTGGAGGAACAACACAGCAAGGTCCCCAGCACCTGGGAAGAAGAGCATCACATAAGTTCCCCCACCACATTTTAATCTCCAGGTCATTTTTATTTTTAAAGGTGATTCCGCCCTCTTCCCAGACCCTGATGGAGATGTTGCATGGAACTGTGTAAGGGTTGAAAGGACTAAAAATAGTTGGGATATTACAACAGGACGGACAACAGCTCTTTAGGGAAGGTCTTGGACAAAACATTTAACCAAGCAAAAAGGAATTTAGGGCTCTTGGGAGGGAAGGGGGGAAAAGGTATGGGATACTTGCAGGAATTTCCCAATGGGATGTGGGCTGGGAAGAGCTGAGTATAAATGCAAATACTGAATGTTCTCATTTTCATTTTGTTTTCCAGACATTTATAGTACTGAACAAAGGGAAGACAATCTTTCGATTTAGTGCCACTCCTGCCTTGTATATACTTAGTCCTTTCCATCCAATCAGAAGAGCAGCAATTAAAATTTTGGTACATTCATATCCTTTCTGTTGATTTCCCTCCTCATGTATTTTGTATGGGTTTTAAACACAGATGAATGGAAGTCAGAAGCCATTTTATTTCATTAAGCTGTTTTAAATCTTTTGGCTGAATTTGCTTGCACGAGCAGAAATGCACTTGGATTTTTGGTTTGTTTCATTTTATATTGTTATGTGAGCTATAAAAAATGACTGTATTATACTGCTGGCATCAGATAATGTGAACTGCACTGGAGAGTCTGGTGGGTTTACTCAGGATTAAAAGATGTGAAGGGACTGATCATCTTCACCGAAGAGTCAGTGGAAGAAAGTGGGTGTAGTACCTTAGAAAGGAAGGACACCAGGGGAAATCTACAATAATGGAGATCTTCGCTACCAAGCACTTCAGCAAATTCTCCCAGAGGTGAAACTCTATGACGCCATATGCAGACACAATTTAATTTTGAACTGCCTCAGAACTGAAATTTTTTTCTCTCCTGAAACAGAATATTTTAAAAAATTGTTTTGTTGGTTCTTTTCAGGTTTTCTTATTAGAACGTGTTATACAGGCAGGAGAAAAAGCACAGGCTGTCCTGCTGGACCTTCCAACAGAAGGGCAGTGCCTGATTTCCCTTGACTCTTGTTCTGAAGTCATGGGAGATGCACTGCAGTAGTTGGTTTTGCTTGTTTTTTTAACAAAACCACAGAAACATTATATTCTGACATAGACACATCTCTCTGAAAGGCCAAATTGACCCAAATATTCAGCTTTCTGTGAACATTACTGAAAACACACCCTTCTTTGTGACTTGGCTGCTTTCTCTGTGGGGCACATGAAAAACCTGGCAGTGATAATTCAGAGACTCCACATGCTGCTGTGCTCATTCTGTGATGTTTTAGTGATGGAAATCCCTCATCTGCAATGCTCCAGTCACCATAGAGAACTAACTAATGAAGGACATAGCATCTTAGAATCACTGGTTAATTATCAAGTTTGACGAAAAAAATAGGCAAAGAAACCAAATTCCCAGTGTTTGTCCATGTAGTGAGGGAAAAAATGTGATATTCTAGCAAAAGGAAAAAGAGGTGAAGCTTCTGATTGCAATAATTCTATGCAAAAAAATGAATATGTGATATCAGCCAAAATATTATTATGGTTACTAAGAATACACTGTAGAATTCCGCAGAGAGATTTGCTTGTGGATCAGATTATGTGTGTGAGCAATGCAACATATGATGCCACACACCTAGAGCTCAACAGAGTTTTTAAGTACACTTACCTCAGCACAGCATTGCTGAAGTTAATCAAGGTCAATGCATTTGTCCAGGTGTGGCTAAGAGAAGAATCTGAAAATTGAGCTTCTTAGGAAAAAGTGTGAATATTGCCTCCAGTTTTGGAGGCAATTTTTCTGTCTTGCCCTCACTTTCTTCTACGCTGGCTGGTGAAGCCAAGAGGTCATAGGTTTGTGTAGCACAGGAGCTACGGGCCCTTTGTATCAGTCAACCAGAAGATAAATAAGCAAGAAATCCTTATCGTTTTACTTCCAAGGATAAAGACCACAGAGAAGAGCATTTAAAATATTTGTCAGGAAAGAAATATGGTCAGATGAGGACTGTAAAAATTTGGGAGTGGCAGGTCTGTAGGCAAATATAAATTTAGCTCCCGAAATGTCCAAATTACCACCTTGTGTTGATAATGCCAGGAGATCCAGCAGCTCGAGCTCTGGCAGGCAAGAGCAGGAGACAACAACTCCATCCCAGTGAAACAGCAGCAAAGTTCCTGCATTAGGCACTGATTTGTTTTCTGTCAATAAAGACCTTTTGCATCAACCTGAAACACAAAGGCCAACGGGCTGAGCAGGCAGTCAATATCCCAGGCAAAAGGGAGCCTGAATCGGCAAGTGCTCAAGCAGATAATATCCCAGACATGAATCTGGGAACCAGATCTATCGTCTTGCGTGACTGTAATCAAGCAATCTTTATTTTCCCCAGGGCAAAAGCCTAAAAGGAGCATTAGCAAATGGTGCCCTGTCACGTAAATATCTGAAGCAACTTCTTCAGTAGATGCTGTACTTCAATTTTCAGCCATTGAGTGTGCTGTGAAGGCCAACAGGAGAAGAGAATAGAGAGGACAGAGAAAAATCATCTTATAGAGAAGCCGTGGGGGTCATATTTCTTGGTTAAGTAGCTGTATATGGAGTTCTTCCTCTGAGATGTCAGGCAGGATAGATTCTGTATGTTCACTCACTATGGCTCATCCAGCCAAGCCTGATAAGTCTAGTCTTTCAAAAATACATCCGTCCAAGGGAAAAAAAACATTCAGAGACTCCTAGGTATGTGAATTACTTCAACTATCAGCATATACTTAAACCTCTTCTAGATATTTCTCCTCCTATTCAGAGTCTAGGAGGCCTCACAAAAGGACCATGGCCAGAAGGTGGCCCTGGTCCATTTCTGTCACAGATGACACGGGGAGTATAGAGCTGCATCCTACTGATGAACACTTTATGCCTTCTGCATCATTATCAGCTGTTATTAACATCTTTCTTTACTATCTCCACCTATGAATGAGATTAAGCCACTGGTATAACACTTCATCAATGCTTATGTTTAAAATACTCCTCTCAGTTCTTGCCTGCAAGAAAAGGACCATTGTGTGGTGTCCTTAGTTTCCCCAAGCAGTTTGCTGACCTGTATAAAATCTGTAGCAATTGTTATTTCTTGTTTTTCTAAGTATTATAGCCAGTTGCTCTGAGCTCACCACTGATCCAGAATGGGGGTTTGGCCAAAACTACCTTCCTTGATAGAATTATAGATTCTGGTGCATTAGAAAAAGAAAAATAAATAAAGATTTTCCCATCTTTGTTCATGTTTTCTGATTGCAGCTTTTCTCCCATCTGATTTCGCACACTTTCCATAAGGCAAAATGAGACCTTGTGAAGCACCAATTATATGTACTATTCATTGGCACTAACCTTTGCTTGCACATATTATATGTAATTTGGCAATGATCACCTAAAGAGCCTCTAGTATTCAGTCTGCTAATTAACAATTATCCATCATAATGAAGTCTAGAATAGAAGTGTACCGTGGTTGACTCTATATCTTTGTGCTAGAAGATAAAATTTATAACTTTTAGAATCAGTTTGTGCAAAGCCTATTCTGTAACCTCAAATCGGAAATAATAGGTTTAATTTATTGCAGAAAGAATCCTGATGAGTAGCTTAGTATATTTGGTTTGTAGTCTTTCAAAAACTTGATTTAATAGCAGTTCTAAGATAGGGAACACACAATGCTGCTAATATTGCTTATCTCAATTTTATCTGCTTTGCTTTGTCCTTTCTGAGTAGATCATCATCACGGACTTTTTCTAGTGCAAGCAATTGCATTAGATTTCAGGTAGGAATGTTAATTTTCATTCTGTAGGAATTTCTGTAGGTTTTTTTGTTGTTGTTGGTGGTTTGGTTTGGTTTGATTTTTGTTTTTTAAACACAGACCTCTAACTTTGATGCATAACCAGCTGAAATGTTTCATTCTTCTCTGTTCTTTGTAGTTTTCAGCTTGGTCATGAAAACCAGATTGAATTCATAGTGCATTTGTTGTCCCAAAGCTGACCCTTTACATTTTCAACCTGAGTTCTCTGGTTTGTTCTCTTTGGTACTTGAATGAGAAGGTGATGACCCCTGCCTGTAAGTGAGTGTCTGCGAAAGCTGTTAGATTTAGTTTATAACACAGGGGAACAGAGATATATAAATGAAACCAGTGATCCTGAATTCCTGTAGAGGAGTTTATTTTCTTGGAATTGAGGTATGCTATTTCTTTGGCAAGATCTGAAGATACCACTTTGGTTTACTGTGCTTGTTTTCATAGCATTTCACGGTAGCTGAAAAAGTAATCCAGTGTTTTCTAGGCTGGCTGCAACTTAAAACTAATTGTGTTAACCAGAATGACACAACTCATAGAAACATATCTCAAGCTGACGTGAGAAAATGTGAGTGGATATCAGATATCCTTCCCAGTCCTTCAGCAGGAGGTGTTGGCCCAGAAGTGGAAAATGTTTGTGAGATGAGCAATCCCTGTGAGTTCAATTACTGCTTTCTGCGATGGCCCTGGGGAATGCACAGGTTGGTTACTACCAATTTACCCTTGTAGTTGCTTATGTGGCCCACTGGAGAACGTTCCACTCTTTATTCAGCAGAGATTTTCGTTCTGCAAAAGGATAAATTTCATGCAAACATTTCAGGATGTAGGTTTGAAATTGTATTCTTCAATCACTATTCTCAAACAAAAAATAACACCGATGGAATCAGTAAAGGGCTAAAAAAACCCTTTTTTTTTCCCAAAGAAAGCAAGAGAAATTTATATTTGGATGTTATCTGTCTTCTTTCCCAGTAGCATGGGACCAGTTATTTATGGAGGTGAATCCCATCATATTTTGAAATTATTTTTTTTTTTACACAAAGTGGCATGTGCTTTTAGGAGAGCCATTCAGTGAACTATGTTTCCCATTTCAGGAATTTGATTTAGGGTACATCTTTTCATATTTATGGCCTCAGCTTAGCAGCCAACTGCATGGACTGTACACGTGGGAGGTTCATTTTAGCCTCCAATTAGGGAATCTGGTGCCTCAGCTGAGGCAGAGAGCTCTGCAGACCAAGGCTGTATGTTTGCCAAGCAGGTTTGCAGACCTAACCTTAAAATCAGTGCTCTGAAACTCATACTAGCTTTTGCTAAAACTTTATATTGAAAGTGAGATCTCAAGCCCTTTAAAGAGATTAGAAAGACCAGATTTGTAACTTGCCCTGCTGCCTGAGAAACGTTTCAGGATGCAAAATAAAATGGGAATTTGCAGACACGGGTTTTTCTGTAGATACTTAAATGAGACTAATCCCTCTTTTCATACAAAGTTGTGCACCTATGCACACTGTCATCTGACCAACACAGCTGTAAATTTGGGGTATTGTGTTTTAAAAAGACTGCAGAGTCAGTACAGAGTCAGTACTGTTTAAAGTATGCATAAAAGATGTAGGCAATGAAAAAAAAGCAGAGAAAGTTCTGTCATTTTTTCTGTTTATATAACTATTTGTCTACTTATGCACTTGCAAAAATGTTTATTGTTCTTTAAGTGATTTGCAAATTATGATTGGGCTGTCATATCTTGTGTGAAGGGACAAAAATTTATGAAGTCTTGTATCATATGCATTGTTTTCCTTAATTCGCCTCTTTACATTGTTCAGTATGTTTATTATGTGCACTATTTTAACTAATTGTGTGTTCATGGCACAATCAGAGACTCCGTCATGGAATAAATATGTTGAGTAAGTATCCTTGCTGGTTTACAGCTACCCTCTCCTCATCTCATCCTTCTTTTCCTATTCATTGTATTCTTATTTTTGTCTTGTTTGCTGCTGTCTAATTTCTTTCCAGTAATACTGATCATGGTATCTACCCTCACAAAACTTTTTTCCAGGTAGTTTGTTGGTTTTGTTTTTTTTTTGCCTGTGAAAACTTCCTTCGTAAGTAAACTGAAAATTTTTAGTCCGTGAATCTCATATTTCTTGCTCAATGCACCTTCAGTGCTACATCTGAATAAAATCACATATGAGGACAACCCCGTTTGAACCTGGCCAGACTTCCACAGTTCTCATGCAAGAGATTTGATAGTTGGACACATCAGGATGGGCTGATGGAGTTTAAGTTGAATTATTTCAGAAAATACTTCCTGAACATATTAGGTCTATCCTTAAACTGAAACTTACTGGAAGCAAAAGTTTCTTCTGGACCGAGCACGTCGTGAGAAATGTTCCCCTGTGATCATTATTAGGAATATTTTATGAACATAAAAGTGTCTGGGAGCACTTTTAGGTGAATTCCTGTCTTTTTAGCTTGTCAAGCCTTTAGGAAATATAGCAAAGACATCACTTGAAGGTGTCTATTTGTTGTGGTGGTTTTGTGGTTGTTTTTTTATTTTTAATTAATTTTAAGGGAGGCAAGGGGGCTTCAGAAGGCCCATTTCATTTCTTTAAGTTGCTTTAAAATATTCCTTTTAGAAACAGATACCAGATGCACAAGCTAATCAACCTACAGTGCATTAAACAATTATTTTGGCTCATTGAACCAATCAGAACACACTTTTTATTTTTGACTGACATATGATAAACACAGCCATCTGCTGCTTCGTAGCCTGGTGGTTGGTCTACTCGGGGCTGTAAGGAAAGACAGTGAAACGCCCTTATTTAGGTTTCTTAAAATCATGCAGGACACATCTTCTAGGCCATAAATTGCTAATTATAGGCAGCACTGAACCAAATATTTCATCCGATCACAATAACATCCTAATCCCAGGATGTTTCATGTATTTCTGTAGAGTGTGGTACCCTCAAGTCTGTCTGTGACTGTCCTTTCCCTCAATGTTGTCCTTTTCCTATGGAAAACTGCCACACGTTTTTCCATAGCCATTCCACTGAATCATGGACATCTCATCCATGTGAGTCAAAATTTGGTCTGTTGGTCTACAGCTGGAAATTCAAACATTCTGGAGGGAAATATCAAAATGCTTATTGTGTCTCCTGTGAGCAGGAAAATGTGGATGATGTTATCAGTGCAACAAGCAGAGTGTGCAAGAAATGTAGAGCAGAATTGCAAATGGACTCATGCAGCATGGAGTAAATCCTTCCATGTTTCCTCTTCTCCTGTGTCCCCTCATATCTCTCAGCTTTTCCTCCTCAGGTGCATAGAATGAAATCAAAGTCAAGTACTTTCGAGGAGCAAAATAACCCAATGAACTGTAATTCAAATTGATTAATATTGGATTTGGAAAAGATACATTTAATCCATTTTTTGTTCTGCTGTTTCAGAGACTCACGGGGGATAGAAGAATAACCTTGTGAAAATATTTGTCCTAGATCTTCCTTTAAAACATTTTCCTTACCTTTTTGAAAATAGAAATCAATTCAACTTCCCTCCACTAAAAACAAAATTTTAAAACCCCCTGACTTCTGCTGTTAAAGAAGCTGTTCAGTTGCTGGAGGACTTTGCCCGATCCATTTAGAATTAGATGATGATTATACAATCAATTAAACCCATCTGACATGCTGAATAAATACAAGTGCTTTATCACTTTAATGAGCTTATGTACCGTTAAGTATTTTTTTTAGTTCTTTGCATGTGTTTTCTGCCTGTATTACTGAACACACACGCTCAAAGAGACTGTCACATGAGTGACCTATATTCGAAATACTGGAGCAAAATTAAATAGGAGCCGTGAAAAGTTGGATGCAAGATAATACTTAACTTATGGTCAAAGAGCTGGGAGAGACATGTAATGCCCACTGTTGAACAGAAACTGTCCTGCTAATCACCATTTTAAGATGAAGCACACTGAGGTTTTATAACATATGTAACTAGCTCTGCTGTGCGACAGGATGGCAGGAGGGCATGAGATTTGCCACTATCTGTGTTTGTGCCCAGTTGCAGATCAGTGCAATACAGCTAAGAGGAAACACCTCCATTTTATGCATAATGAAGTTCTTCCTTATATTGCACCTTTAATTGCTTACACCTTTCTTTTTTTTTTTTTTAGCAAATAGGTATCTCAGCTGCTATAATTCTTTTGTGTGTGATGGCACCATTGTAGCTACTGATGTTTAGCCAGTGTTTCCAGTGAAAGCCCCTAACATCACGGCTTATAATAGTCATGTTTTAGTAGATTTTAGGTGTTTGAGGTTTTTTAATAGGCTTTGGTATCATCTGCCTCTTTGTTTGGAGAAAAGGGATAGGGAATGTCAGTGGTGGATACTAAACATTTATTTCTTTTATTAAGATATGGCCTAGAATACCTAGTCCCACTGGGCTAGGTAGAAACATTAAAAAAGAGCTGTTGCATGCCCTGAACTCTGTCTCTGATGGTAGGTAGAGCCCTGGGTGAATAGAAATCTGAATGCTATAAATCACATGCATTACTGTCCTCCACAGAGATTTTGCTAAATTTTATTACAACTGTCAACTTTATTACAAAAGGTAAGATCTATGTTCTAGACCAGAACATCACTGTCAAGAGGCTGTTGGCAATAACTTACTAGGGGGGGAAAAAACAACCTCGTGTCTCCTTTGCTGTCAAGCAGGTCAAAATTACTACACATAGTTTTTGGGTGGGAGTTTTTTTACTCTTTTTCACTGAAGGTGTTTTGTTGTTTGATTCTCCAGGCTGGAGTGGTTTCCATGAATAGTGAAACACAAAGGAATTTGCAGAACAAGTGCTCTTTTCAACTAATAAAAGCAAGTGGTGACATTTTTTTAACCTGCTGTACTTCAAAATGGTCCTGGGTAGGATGAGCTGAGAGATATGAGGGGAACAACCACCCTCCTTCGAATTAGAGAAACAACAAGGATTGTGGCATAATGTTGCCAAGAGAGGTTGTGGACTCCCCATCCCTGGAAGTGCTCAAGACCAGACACCTGGTCTAGTAGAAGGTGTCCCTACCCACGGCAAGGGGCTTGGAGCTAGATGACCTTTAAGGTTCCTTCCAATCCAAAGCATTCCCTGACTCCCTAATCCACTCTTTCACTGGTGATCACAGGCAGAGCTTCAAAAGTCCCATAGCACAGCTCAGCATCGTAGTGTTCACGCTTGACTTAACGAGGGAGGAATCATCAAGGTACACCCTGTGGTGAAAACTATCTTCATCCTGTGGCTGTCAAGAGCACCTTCCCATTTCTTACATGTTCCTTGTTCCACACACGAGGCTGCTCATGCACAACCCATGCAGCCGTGACTCACCTGAGCAACCCCAGTGAGTTGGGCAGGAGTGTCTCACGTGAGTTGAGTGTGTCTCTGCCATTCCTGTCTGCTGCTTGCTAATGCTCTTGCTCACCTTGGCCGCTTTTTTTCCCCCAGGTACACTTTCACTGGCATTTACACTTTTGAGTCGTTGATAAAAATATTGGCAAGAGGATTTTGCATGACAGAATTCACCTTCCTTCGAGATCCATGGAACTGGCTGGATTTCAGTGTTATTGTTATGGCGTAAGTAGCACTCTTTTTTATTTTTCAAGATAGTTATATGCAATAGAACTCTTTTAAAAATTTTGTGGCTGCTATTTCCCCCCTGCTCATCTTTTACTGAAAATGAGAAGGGGCTGAAGTGTATTATGATGGAGGTATTTTTGCCTGAGTGACTTAAGAGGAAAAAGTCAGAGGAATCCTCAGTTCTGTTCTTTCAATTCACTAGACTATTTTGGAGAAATTATTTACTCTCTCCATGCTCCACAGAAAGAGCTGTTTGTAAAATATCCATAATAATACATATCTAAGGTAGTTTTGAGAAGCTCAAGACCCCTGAATAGAAAGTATTATGTGTGACTGAACACCCATGTATTTAAATCCCTATTTATAATCTGTCTATCCATAACATCACCAAAGCTGTTTTCACATCCTTCTCTTCACAAACCCTCTTCACCCAGAAAGTAATTACTATTGTACTACAATAGAAAATTAATTTATAGGCCTCTAAAACTTGTTATATATCTTGGGAATAGAAATTTGGCCCCCACCATGATATTCCCCTTCAGCTGTATACTTCTACCTAGATTATTAGAGTTCATTCAGGACATGTGGGATTCTGGTGCTTTGAAGGAGGTGATGGATTTGTGGCATCCAGACAGCTAAAAATACACAGGGGTAGGGGAGCAGTCAGCCAAAGCTTACAGGGGACACAGGGTCAGCCCAAGCTCTGGCCAAAGGCAAATGTCTGACACTGTCACTACTTCCAGCTAATCTAGAAATCCAGATTTTCTTCATAGTCACAGAAGAGAGAAAAGCACGCAAAGAACGCATGTAGTCTTTAAGTGAAAGCTGGTAGAGATGCATGAAAAGCTCCATTTCTTAATCATGGAAGGATTTCATCCGGTCTCCCTGGGTTTTTTGTGCTTAATGATACCCGTATTCAGTTCTGGGTTTAGGTTGGTTCTCGCTGCCATCTTTGAAGCTCATAATTCACAACACTAAGTGAGATGCAAGTGTGTTAGCACTGACATTTGAGCTGAGCTCCTGGGATTGTGATATTTGAATGGAACAAAAATTGGGAAATAATATTCAACCAAACTTAGCTCGCATGCCGGTGAGGGCCACTGAAGTTGAAAGCACAAGTCTGTTAGGGAGCAGGGATCAGGACCAGTTTTCAGAGTCCAGACTCTCTCTGGACTCTCAGGACGATTCTCTTGGTTTAGTTTTAGGCAGTTGTGCAAGGAACAGTTTGTTGGACTCCTTGGTCCTTGTGGGTCTCTTCCAACTTGAGATATTCTATGATTCTGTGGTCCTTGGCAGCATTTAGCAGAGCAGCGTGAAGGTGTGTAAAACCTGTGTGAACTTCCTCGGGAACACTCCCATTTATTTCAGTAGGCTTTGGATCAAAGCCAGCCCTAGGCCAGGTCCTGGTATCTGTTACTGCATTCCTATGGATTTGGCTGAACTGACATCTGACCGTTATGATAAGCTTTTAAAAAAACATTCAAGGCAGATGGGGAGAATCTTTTGGAGGTCAGCACACATTAGGTATTTTTCTCAGCTAAACTTTTCCTCAAGCATTGCTAAGTGCAATTCTCCTGCAACATTTAGAGGCAGGACAGAACAAAACAAAACAAAACCCAAAACAGAGTCACCAGCCTGCTCCTCTGTCTCCTGTCCATCAGGCAGTTGGTAAAAGCAGCAAACTCATCTGTGTGGGAGTTATTTGTAGGTCTCATGGAGAATTTCTGTGCAAGGGTTCCCTCTTTTTCTAGGGAGGTTTTTGACAGTAAGGTAGAAAGGAGCAGAGAAAAGGCCAAGAGGAGCCACAGCTTGCAACCTTGACCATGAACCTGCTTCACTTCATCTTCTCAACTTAGGCAGAAGTTGGGGCATCACCTCTGACTCTGGGAGCTCCTCTGGGAGCATCTCATATGCTGTCACTGAAAGTCAAGTCTTAACAGTCAGTGTGGGGCACAGTCTGGTTATCCCTTAAATTCGGTCCACATAATTTCTGGGTGTTTGGAATTTACTGAGCAGGAAAGATGTGAAGGTTTGCACAGACTTTGAAGTGGACAGTTACCCACAGGTGAACTATTCACTCCCTGTCGGTAGGAACCAGGATTTGGTGCCCAGAGGTTGTGGGCTTACCCCTATTTTTTCTTTTCTAACTCTAGACTTGAATGGTCTCTCAGTGCTCCAGCCCAGGGCTTCATGAAAACTTCCTTAAGGCTTCTCTAATGGGAGGCTTGGGAGTGTGTGCTTTCTTTCTTAGCTACATTTTAATTTTCTTTCTAAATGCTATTTCATCTCTTAGTTAGAAGATCCCTAAAACAGGGAGACCTGCAACTGCAAAATATCAAGCTTCTTAGTATCAAACTGTACCACTGACTGTGCTCTTCAGAACCAGCATCCATTCCTATTGTTTCTTACTTTACGACATACTATACCAACACTTTCAGAATGGAAAAAAAATTGGAATTCTGGAATAGAAAATAAATAGAGAAGTGCTTCCTTGAGTCTACAGGCAGCAGTGAGAGAGTTAAAAGTGGCTGCAATATGATCTTCTATGTACAATGAAACCTCCTTCCCAAATATGCAAGCAGAAGATAGCACAGAGCTTTGGATAATGGAATCTATTCTGATATGATTTAGCCTTCATATAAATCCAATTTGCAAGTAATTTAAAGTAAGATTGATCACACAGGTAACTCTGGTGTTGTCTTTGCTTGTAGCTAGTGTGCTGCCAGGGGTATTTCTGTATCTGGAAACAAAGAAGGCTTGAGGATTCAAAATGGAGGAGGCTGATAAGGGGCCATGGGATTCAGATGGGCAGAGGGGTTTTGAGCCAGCAGAAAATCTGATTATGTCACTGATGGGTGTTATAGTGGAAAGACAATCATTTGTTTTAGAGTTATTGCAAAATAACTTCTGACCTTCTCTTTTGGACAGAAACAGCACAGATTGGGCCATAGAGAGTAGTTTTAAATAGCACACTAGAGAGTAAGACGTACCACAGGTCTCCAGGGTTTTTCTCCCATCCTGTGCCAGCAGACACAGCTATGGCTTGTGAGCCTCTCTGGGGCCATGGATGGGTTCAGGGAAAATTATGAAACTGCCCTTGTTCAGATCCCTCTTTCACAGGCCAGCGAGTACTTCCCAGGACAGGTGAGGGAGATGCAGCTGTAACTCTGGGCTGTTAAAAGCTTAAAGACAAGAAGCAATTCCCTGGCTAACAGGAAAATCCAGGGTGGGAAATCCAGTTTCTTCTTGCTCCGCAATACAGAGGAACTGGTCTGCTGCAGTTTGATAGAAGAAATGGCCAAAATAAATCTTAGTTAACTATTACAAACAAGCAGCAGTATTATTTGCTTCGCATGCTTGCTCACATGTTTATAATGTGGTTTTACAAACCTCTAGCCAGAAAAACCATATTTTCCACCACCTTTCATGCTGCAGAAGAGTTTGGGAGAGAGGCACTAGGTAAAGCTGGGGAGGAAACAGGTAAATCTTTGCCCAGACTCCCCTATGAGATTATGAAGAAAAGCAATATTGCTCTTCCAGGCTATAATCTGGATTAGTAGATACGGAGAGGATGCTTTGTCCTCCCCAGGGGACTTTGGACAAAGCCCACTTAAGCAGGTTTTGTAAAATAACCAGGTGAGGTTTTATCTTAGCAAACAAATGCCTCAAAGAAGTAGAATATTTGAATGAAATTTAATGGAATTTTAATAGTGAAATTCAAGGGTCCAAGGCCTCTTTTATTCCGAAGGTACAGTGGTGACTATGCTTTTATTGTATACTGAGTTGGAGGAAATAATTTTGTACAACACTGATAAGACAAAACTCATTCCAGGACTGACCCTCCTGGGAGCATTTAGCTCAGATGTGGCATGTGTCTCCAGGATGACCAAAACAGGCATGGCAGGGAAGAGCTGGGGTTGGTATTTTAATCATAAAGAGTTTTTACTAAGATGGCAGTTATATTCATTTAAACTCCATCTTCCTGCAGCCAAAGGATATGAATTTGATGCACAAAACAAAATACAATTCTAAGCATCTCTTGAAACCAACATCTGCTTTACAACAGTATACAGCATCTTAAAATAACCCAGTAGAAGTGTTCGCATTGATATTTTCCCATGTTGTCCTATATGTAGTTTTCAGAAGCTATTATGTGAAAATTACTTGGGTATTTGAAGCTTTTATTTTATTTTTTTTTAAGAGCAGCAAAATAACTCAATATTTCCTATAATGTAAAGAATTTTTCTTTTGTTAAACTAAATGATGGTAAAATCTTTAAAGTATTTATTGCTGAACAGCACGATAACAAAGTTCACCCACTAGTTTTAAAGAATTGATGCCTATTAGATAAGTTTAATAGTTCAAGTAGCATTTGAAATAATGTGTACTAAGAAAAACCCAGGACAAATGGCATCAAAGAACAGCCTGAAAAGTGGATGCACCTCTCATTTGGCTGTGTTTGCTCCCTGTGTATGAATGCTTTATTCATTCAGGCAAGTCTCATACTCTATTGTATAATTCCAAATAACTGTGACTTAATTCTACAGGTATGTAGGAGAATTTGTGAATGTAGGCAGTGTTTCACCTCTTCGGACTTTCAGGGTATTGAGAGCTTTAAAAACTATTTCAGTAATCCCAGGTAAGAAGCCCTGATCCTTACGTTTTGGCTCTCAGCTACAAGTGATTCTTTCTCTGTCTCTCTTTGTCCCTTTGATTGTTGTTTTTTTTGGCTGGTGTTTTGTCATTGTCTGTGTGTGACTTTCCCTTGTTACAGATACATAACTGAATTTGTGGACCTGGGCAATGTCTCAGCCTTACGAACGTTCAGAGTACTGCGGGCGCTGAAAACAATCTCAGTCATTTCAGGTGAAAATCAGGTTAAACACTCCGGCTGCAGTTAAAGCCTACATGCCATTTCCAGTAGCAAACACCGTAATTACAAATGACTAAAACCATAGACACTGATCAGGAAATGGAGGAATGTAGGGAATGTGACCTGTCAATAGAATACGTTTTCCTATGTGTTTTTCCAATGTGGTGTTTGTGGGCAGAAGGAATGGGAGCGCCTCCAAAATTACAGACCTCACCAAGAGGAGTGCTGCTGTAAGAACAGTGGCTCATGAGTCACATGCATAAAGTACCCATTCCTGAACCATATGAAAATGGCATTGAAACTCTTTTAAAGCCTTTGGATATTGATTTTTAAAAATGGGAGGTTAATGACCTCAAAATGCATATTCATGTTTAAGAGCACATTGATAGAGGGATCTAAATCTGTACTATGAGCTGAGGTTTCAAGACTGCAGGCACAGATAGCCTAATTTGTCATGGTGTTTATCCAATTGCATGTGATAGAAGCACTGTTGAAATTTTGGGTCTTGAAGAGATCAGAGAACTTTTCATTATTGATTTTGGTAGGTCCAGCATTTCATCGACTCGCATTTTCTAGGATATGATTTCTCCACTCTTCCCCCCTCTGAAAAAAAAATCAGTGTTTTACTACACATCTGGTACTGAAAGAAGCTCTTTATTTAATGTTACTATTTTAAAAAAATTAATAACATTTACTATTAAGCAATTTATGCAGAGATGAGTCCACCGAGGACTAACCATACGACAACACTTTCTTGCCAAACATTATCTATGGACAGGTCTCATTCAGCCTCAGTGTTTAACATCTCCAACCTGCATGACAAGGTAGAGAAGATAGCAAAACCCATGCATGGTAGATCCTCTCTTTGAAAATCCTGAACAGATGTTGGCAATTACATGTCAAAAATATTCAAAACGTCAAAAGAACTGCTCAGATTCTCACACACAGCTCTTGAAGGTTAGAAAGGCTTTTCCACCCACTCTGTTATGCACATCCACACTGTAATATAAATCCAAACAAATTCTGAGGTGTAAACTTATATGGACATGTATTAAAACTAAACGTCAGCACTCATATGGAGTATAAGCTAGAAATGGAAATTCTGGAATGGAAGTGTTAAGTAAAAACATATATAGATCTAGAATTTGCTCACTCATTCCAACACCAGAGCAATGAACATCAGGGAAATTACTTGGAGAGCAAGGTATTTTTTCCTGAAAGTGTATGTCCATGTATAGGTTTTAAAGAATACTCTAATATGATCATTCTTTAGGTCCTTGAAATCAGTACCTGTCTTAATTTTTGTCTTTAAGTTTTAAAGAATAATCTATTAACAGAGAGGGTTTCTTTTAATTTTTTCTCTAATGGGATTTCCACTGAGAAATTATTTTTATTTTCACTGGGAAACAAAGCTGAGCACAGTTTTACAGATCATGTGGGATAGTACTGGCTAATCAGAGAGAAAGCCAGGATTTGTTTCCTAGTGTCCTTTGCTAGCAGTTTGAAGACTGACTTGGAGGGACAGCCATCTCCAGGGGACACCTTTCACGTTGCATCTTGTCTTAAGCTTGAGCCTCTTCAGAGCAGAGCCTGTCAACTTTTCTAAGTTATATATATAGCAATTTTCTGCTGTCCTGTATCAGAAGGGGAGCTGAAGTTTGTTTTACATCAAATGATAAAATTTGACTTAGTGGGGAAAAAATCTGAGTACTGAGATTCAGAAAAACATTATTTGAAAATACACCAAACCCCTTTGGTGATATTAAACACTGAGTTGTTCCATTTGTTGGTTAATAGAAGAAAAAAGAAAAAGAGTATTATTTATTAAAGTAATACATAATAACTCAGTCTCTTTTTTCATTCCGACTGAATATTTGATTAGTTTTTTGATAACTGAATTTTTATGTACAAGTCACTAAATTATTTGGTGACATAACTACATGAAGATATGCTAATAGAATATCTGGCCTTTGATTTTATCATCAAGATTACCTGTGCAGTGAGTATGTTTAAATTATGAATGTAGAGAGCTACAAATTGCCATGAAACACCGATCTGCAACACAGGTGAGGTGTTGGGTTTTTTTTAATGTTAGCAGATAATTTCAGAGTCAGTTCATTTTTCAGTTAGACACATATATTTTAAAAGAAATATTGAACATGATGCCCTGGTTTATTTGGAGATCAGTCTGAATTTTTAATGATAACATAGTCTTATGCTGAGGTGAAATATTTTTCCACAATAGGCTTAAAAATGAGAAAATTATGAACATTAATATCTTTCATGAGATTTTTGGGGTTAACTGCAATAGAGAGGAGAAGGTGGTTGTTATTTTTGCCACTTCCCAGGTGAAAAAACACTGAGTTGTATTCTCCTTTGCAAATATCTAAGCTTTTCCTCAATAAAATTGATCATGCTTTTCCATCAGGTACTTATATTTGCACAAACATGCTTGGACTCAACATGCTGAGTGAAAGTGCTTACCGAAAGTAACAGGCCAAGTCCTCCGTGGTGTAAGGCTTCTGTCCAGCAAAGCACTTAGAGGCTGGTTTTCAAAGGCTTTCTGCTTCACTTGGAATCAATGAGTTTCTCTATTGACTCCAGAGGGAGTCAGTAAAGCTAACAATTAGTGCTTTTAAAAATCTCACCTACCTTTAATGCCTTGCTCTAAGTGCTCAAGCAGGCTCGGGGATGTTTAGGGGACATGGACTCACAGGACTCAAAAATATCTCCTAAACTCAGAGTCCATTCCCCTGACCTAAGGCTGTGTTTAGTGTAGCTGTAACATGGCATGATATTTATTTCCCGACTACGTCTAGCAATCCTTCAAAGGTGGAGGTCTCAGGATCTTCCTGAGAAGTCTGTTCCAGAAACTCATTGCTTTTGCCATTAGAAGATTTGTCCTGGGAGGATGGTTCAGATCCAGATTCAGTAACGCAAATATTTGCATGTACCATCAAGCTGTGTGATTCCCTCTCACTGGGGAGCTGTGGTTTGATTGCCATAATGCCAATATCTCCTGCTTCCCATGGCCGTGGACCTGATTCCAGACTCCCATCCAGCCTTCCTCTCTCAGTGTATTATCAGCTCTCTTTTTTTTTTACCCTAGAGCTGTGTAAGACATCAGGTCAGTGCCTTACCTTCAGTGGCAGCCCTCAACATGCCAGAAGACCTTCATGGAAGCCCTTGATTTTCCTTTTTCTGCACTAAACACACCCGTTTCTTCCTGTTTTCCAGTTTCCCATGGCATCAAGAGGAAAAAAAAGCTTTGTACAGGTTCAGGTGCATAGAAATACACATCATTTTCTCTGTGGGAGCATAAAACCTTTAACTCTCAGTTATTTTATTTATTAATTAGCATCTTGCACATTGCCATGGCAACTGGATTAATTTGATTTTCAATCTAGATAGGAACCATGGTCAGCAGCAGAACAACCCACTGAACTCACTCATTTATCTCCCATTACCATCCCATTACCAGCATATCTGAGTCCCAGTGTGCTCCATAGGAACTCTTCCCATGACAACAGAGGGTCTTGAATCATATTTATCTTCATGGAGACCATCAGTGTTTTTGATAACTACTGATTGAGATAATATAAACCCCAAGGTACACCCTTCTATGCTTCTCCATCAAAAGACCACAAAATGCAGGCCATCACCATCATTACCATCATTATCATCATCACCATCACCAGGATTTCATAAACTGCCTGTATCTAGAGAAGCTCCACTGCTCTTTCTGGAACAGGCGTGTACATCACAGACATCTCTCATAAAATGACAGGATACCAGCGAAAGGTGACCTCATAGAAAATTGGGCCAAGGCACTTTGGGGCCTGATCCAGCTCCCATTTAAGTTAGTGTGAGACTAAAGTCTATAAATAGTGCTGTGAATGTTATCCAGTACTTTAATGATAGCCAGAACAGAGCTCGGAGAATAAGAATTAAGACTGTGTGGAGGTTGACCCTTGTTCACTGCTTCAGTCTCACTGAAGTCCTGCTGCAGAGAGATAAATGACATCCTTTGGGTGGGTAAATCACTTAACTCAAGAAGTAACTATCCCAGAAGTGAGAAATATATGACATATTTGTGTTTTCCTTGGAGACTGGCCTGTCAGTCACATTTCCATGCAGAGACAGTCTACGGGAATGCTGACAACCATTCGAGTTTGCCAACATGCTATTAAATTCTTTGCTGCCCCATGTCTCAGCGGCTAATTACAAAATACGCTCATCAAGGGTGAGCTCTTCTCTCCCTACATGCACATGACTCACACAGACATTTACAAGACACGTGAGTATCCTCAGGGGAAGGAGTGGGATAGGTGAGGACAATCATGCTGCAAGTCACACTCTCCTTTTTTTGGTTTTTTTTTGCTTTTTCTCCCTGCTTGTTTCCAGACTGTGCATGACAGTGTCTGATGTTCTGTAGGTGATTGCCAACATCTGGTATGGATGTCATACTGAATTATGCTAATACTTTCTCACATCTCGTAGAAGGAATGGATGGTGCTTTGGGATCTTGCCATTTCTCATTGTTTGGTGTTGCTTGCATTTTCTATCGTTTCTGATTTGCATTTGAAAACCAATTATTTGATTAACCTCTGAATGTGATAATTTCTACCTGCCTTCACAGGAATGTTTGGGCCAAATTCTTCTTGCTTTCTGCAGATGCCAGGCTGCCTATACAGCCCTCATTCCACTGATTTTGGGTCTCATGGTGTTTTTCATGTCATGCAAGCAGGATTTGGCCCAGAGGTGTGGAAAGAAGTCAGTGATTCAGAAAAAGCCTGTTATCAATTCACTCCACAGGGAGTAATCTATTGACCCATTGTCATTAACGGGTGTAGATGTCACTCAGCTTTGGATCAGATCCTCAGGTTTTTTCCTGCATGCTGCCTGGTTTGATGTTTGACTTGCAAGAATTAAATAAATGCCTCTAATGCCCCATAAATAGTATCTTCTATTAAGCTATATTTCAGTGCTCTCATTGGCACTATTTCAAAGAAGGATTATTTATCCAGAAGATTTAACTGTGCTCTAAATTTGAATACATCTAGCTTGCTTTTACAAAACATGGGATTGATTCAGAGAGATGCAGAGCACCTGGGAGAGGTTTTGGGTGTCCTTATTTCCCCTCAGCCCTTCCATTTCGGAGGCACAGAAAATTTAAATGAATAGTGACTTAAATATTTTATTTAGCTGTGGCACTTAGTTGTGTCAACCACCTTGATGGATGTGACTTAATTTTCTGGGCAATTCTGTTTTTAAAGGAGGGAAAAAAAGTTAAACTGTAAGTATAACACTCTCCAAATGGTTTTCCTGGAAAGTTTTAATAAAGGTCCAGGAGGCAGAGTACAAGTTATTTTTAAATGGTCTTTAATTACAGAAATTGTATTACTGAAGCACCATCTTCTTAAACTGTTCGGAAGCCTGTAAGCTATGAAAACAAACAAGAAACAAAAAAAGGCAGTAAAGCAGAAAACCCTCTCATAAAGAAATTACTTGATACCTGCAAGGAATGAACTCGTAAAACTAATAATATAGGATTACTATTCTATTTAAAACTACAGTAATTAAACTGGGAAAAACATGTTTAATGAAATGACCTTGAAATTACCAATACTGGGGCCTGATTTTGAAAAGATGATTTTGAAAAAAGATGGTCTTTATTGGTGATTAGAATTCTGTAGGTTTTGTTTCCTAATATTATCCCAGTTCACATTAGGACTCCCATCGTCCTTGCCTGTGTGAGTAAGATTAATTAGAGCACTTAGATGATACAAATACAAACTCCAAGCTTAACAAGCAATTAAATGTGCTGCAGGGATTTCACAGAGGGTACTTCAGTAAAAGAATTTGTGGATTGGTATTTTTTTCATTTCTTAAGACTCAGTCTGCATTTGAATTTCCCAAGTTTCACCAGTTTCAGTAAAGAAACATCTGTTCATTCAAAGGACGACCAATGATAAGAAGCATTGAAAACATTTCAGAATATTAGATTTGAAAATATTCTAGTGCATTTACAAATCTTATTTCTTTTTCTCACCTAACTTCTTGCTTGAGACCTGTCTGTCTTAAAGGTCTTGTAATGCTGGGTAGGGGTGACACTCCAGAAGTCCTTTCAAAATTGGGCTATGAGTAAAGCTACTTCCACCTTAGATATAAAGTTTACTCCAGACTAGGTTATCAGAAGAGCTCTCCTTTTTAGTTAGGCATCAAAACAGGTAGTCAAATCTACAGATGGACTCAAAAGTTCAGAGTCAGCCTTTTTGTGTTGCTACCTGAATAGAACCGATCTCATTTGTAAAATCTCTTTCTGGTGAGGAAGACAGGTAGCATGAAAATCCAGCTTTTGCCTAATGTTTGCCCTGCAATAATTTATATTCTATTTTTGAGCAGAGTAGGGAGCTGTCTCCCCTTGCCTCTTTATCGTGCCACAAAATAGCTTTAAGGAGGCAACCAAAGAATTTAATGGAGGAAGTTACCCACACCTGATGGGTCAGTCCCTTTTGGTTAAATGGCCACTTTATAGATGTTGATATCATTCACAGTTTAACCTAATGACAATATCCTATACAGGAGTGGGATATTTTAGGACTGCTGCACCTGTTGTCCATTCCAGTAGCTCATCCTCATTTGAGAAACCGTGAGTTCCCCTTACTTTAACCACAGAATTTTAAGCAAGACCAAAAACCCATTTTGCCTTCGTATGAGTCCTGAAATACATTTTTATATTATTTTCAATTACACAGCACTAGCTCAGCCTTTGAGGCTGCCAAACTCTTGAGGTGGAATTCCAAGGAACTGAGATTTAATGTGTATGATCATATTCAGTGAGCAAATCAATGTGCTTCTGAATATTGCCCAGGAGAATTTCTCCTGTTTCCTCTTTGCATTTTCTTTTTTCCATTTAACTAAGTTTCTCTTACTGCTGCCATGCTGGTGACACCAATTATCAGAAGCGCTTATTACTACTTACCAGTATTAATTACATATAAATAGGAAAGAAACAACAAAATTGCTACCATTGTGCAGATGATATTAATGTTGAACTATAGCCCACCAGTTTAGAATAAGGGTCTTTTTTTCAAAGGAATATTTTTTGGTCATAATCATGTAATATTCAATCAGCTCAAATAGTGCTGATTTTCAGGAGCAGTTCAAAACAAGGGATATCATTTGAGAAAACAGTATAATTACTCATATCTGAATATTTATAGAATAATAAACTGAATCTAGTGTTACAGGGTGAAATAATACTGGAGAAGCTAATTTGTGTGACCCAAGCCTTTGATGTTATGTAATAAGATGATTTATCTACGTTGGCAGCATATTATAAAACGATTAACTTTTGCCCAGGTATTGTTGAAGCCTCAGGTAGTTTTACTCAAATAATTTCCACTGGATTTATTTGATTGCCCATATTATTTGGCTTTTTTTAATCCCAAATTCTTGTTGTCTTAAGCAAATGAATTGAAGGCAGAGGAATTATTCATATATATATATAATACAACATGTTGGATTTGGCACTAAAATATGCAAAATAATCAGGGAATAAACAGCATTTCCATACCTCTTCATCTGTTTATGTGAGGGATAAAGTTATCTGAATCACCTGAGTGATTTAAAAATTAATTCTCCTTCTCAAAATTCGATGGGATTTGGGCTTTACAGCCTTTACTGTAGATCCATGAAAATATAAAACGCATTCCACATTTTCTTTATCCATGAATATTTTTGTACCTCACTGTCCCTCCGTCCAGTTCTTTCCCTCCATTTTTACACTGGTGTTTGTGCAATGCCAGGACTTTTGTCCAGACAAAAGCAGGCCAAACTAAACGTTCATGGTGATCACTTGTCTCTCGTTTCTGCCGCACAGTTGCGAACATGTGGTAGAAACACTTCCAACTTCCCCTTCCATGGAGATTTTCATCGTGAAAAGTAGCTGTCTGCAGACACGTTTCAGTCTCTCAGTCTGTAAACTCTCGGCTTTTATCTCCCTAGGGCTGAAGACCATTGTAGGGGCACTTATCCAGTCTGTTAAGAAACTTGCTGATGTGATGATCCTGACCGTTTTCTGCTTGAGTGTCTTTGCCCTCATAGGCCTCCAGCTCTTCATGGGCAACTTGAGACACAAGTGTGTCAGGGATTACACCATGTTTAACTTCACCAATGGCTCGTTGTATTTGGATGGTAGGATGTGGAACACCTCGGAGGAATTTCTTAGTGATCCAGGTAAGCTCTTCTTTGTCCTGTTAATCTGACTTTTGGTTGTTTAGGCTTTTTTTTTGGGGGGGGGGGATTTTTTTTTTATTTGATTTTGGTTGGGTTTTTTTTTAGGTAATGTTGACCAAGATCTGTAAGCGAATCAGCAAATGCAGCATTATGTGACCACTGGCTCTTCATGGTGTCAATGTGGTTTTGAAAGACCTAGGAAACTTTTTCTGTCTCTATGGTGCCTTCACAGTTCATGATGAAAGTGTTTCTGGTGCTTTCCTGTGATACAGAATGAGGTCCTTATTGCATTGTTGAGGATTGTCACAGTTTTAGGTTGTCTTGTTATATATTTCTTAAAACTCCATTTCCTGGAACTGAGCAGTCACTTGAAAATTTCAGCTCTGTGTGTGTGGGTCTGGTTTGCACACTGTTTCTTGAAGACAATTCATAGTTCTTGCATTTCGTAGAAAAATTTCAAAATTTGAATTAAGGGTCTTAAAAAATCAGAACGTAAAGCAGAGAAATTCAGTCTTTACTAATCTGAAAAATACCAAGAGAATTTTTTTAAGAAAATCTTACGTTGTTAGAGCCCTAAATAATTATCTGGGTTAGGCCATCCTGCAGCATCTCATGCTCTGATGTTTATTATCAAAAGGTTTGTTTCTAGTCTAAAGAAATTTTTTAACACTTTACAGTCTGCTGAACTTTTTCATTACAATGACATAGGCTCACTGAGCTTATTTATTAACATTAAAAAAACCCAAAAATATTTGATGTAAGTGAACTTCAGAATGTAAACAAGTAGCTCAAGTGTTGCTACTCCCAAACCCCCTGAGTCACTGGAGGACCTCCATCATTTGCAACGGACATGGCCTCACATCTAAAAAAATTTGATTATGCTCTTGGGGGCAGGAAGCAGCCAGATTGATGTGCATTAGTGGGAACTTAGGACCAGTGACCTTTGGTATTTTATTTATTTTGAGGAGAAAAACAAACCACTTAGTCAACTCCTTTACTGGAATTTATGTTGGGAGGCAGTGACATTGTACCATGGGGTACCTCTGCTCTGACTGTGTGGACCAGACAGTCCTGTTTCTCCAACCATCTGCACTATTAAAACCCCACACCTGACTCCTGGAAACTGCCTGGCGTGGCCCAGGGTTCTGTTGAACCAGGGATTAGGCCAGGGACAGTTCCACCATTCCCCACTGGTGACTTCTGGCCTTTCTGCTGGATTCCTCTGCCTGCAGTCTGAGCAGCCCTGGAAGCAGTGGTGTTAGGAAAGTTTCATTCAAGGAATAGAAAGCTCAACAGTGGTGTCGTTAAGACATGATGTGGTTGACATTAGCAGCATTAAGAAAGGGCAAGTCACAAAGCTCTGGCTGAATGAGGGTTGTCTTTGGAACTGACCCTGACCATCAGGTTATGTGTCCTCTCGATGTCTCTCTATAAGAGCCCTTTATCAGCTGAAAGGGGAAAGAGCTCTTGGACCCATGCTGAATGGTGAGGAGCCTGCTGACATGTTATCCTGTCCACATTCCCTGTGCTTCCAGCTTGGAGATGAGTGAGGAACTAGTAAAGATATTTGTGCACCTGTGGTGGATTAAGGCACTTCACGGCTCCTCTGCCCACAGATTGCTGACAGCTGTGTGAGGTGCTGCTCTCCCTCTCTCACAGAGGCATTGGGAGATCACATAGTGATGGCTGGAAGCATAAAGCCCTGCAATGAAGGTGAAAAGATGAAATGGAGCTGTGAAGATAGTCTGGCTCTCCGGAAATGGAAGTAGGGTAAATGTACCACTGGATAGGCTCTATTAAAATGCAGTTAATGTCAGGGCCAGCTGCAGCACTGCTTTAAATGGGTGGAATTGTACAGCTGCTCCAGCATACCATGAGCAAGTTTATTTGTGTGGTCCTGATATGGGGAGGAGGGCAAACATTCCCAGAAATCCGTATAGGAAATCCAGCAATGGTTAATATGGCCATGAAAATATACTTGTTATCACTAAAGGAGATTTAACTATTACAAAGATAATCAACTTGGTGAGATAATGGATTAAACTGAATTGAATTCTGACCACGTGGTATTACTAGGAAGTAATATTAATATCAATGAACGTTTTCATAGCATTTGAAAATAAAGACATAGTGCATTATGGCAAACAGTCATCTCTTACTTTGTATGGACAAAAATTATTTAAACAGTTCAAGTGTTGAGGCACTGCAGTAGGCCACTGAAGACATAGAAGAAAAGTAGATTTATAGGAAAAATATAGTGATCTCTGAAAAAGAATAATGAACCCTTCCTCAAAAAGCTGAAGGAGGCTTAGCTATAAGGCTAGGGAGAACATGTTAAGTAGGATTTTCATTTAATGTTGACCGTTGCACTAAAGCAATTCAGAAATGGAAGGACTGGCTCATTTTGTGACTAGATGGGATAGTGCTTTGTATTTCATTTTGCTTAAGTATTATGGTGAAATGAAGTGACTGTTTAAAAGACCAGTACTGACCAAAATTTAATAACAGTCCGAATTTCAAGTACTGCAGGGAATTAAGCAATACATACAGTTAGATTAAAGTGTAGGCAGACCAAATTAGATAAAAAGTGGAATATATTAAGAAACAGAATAGTGTCAGTGTTTATTCTGAAGAAGAACTAGAGAAGAAAATTGGCCAACATGTTGAGATAGCAGAGTTCACTTGAAGGGAGCACAATTACAAAAGCTTTTTGGAGATTTCAGAACCAGTGTGGCTGAGTCACTTAGTTTGGAGCACCGTAGAAAACAGAAACCTGAAGTACAGAGATTCGTAATAATACCTTTTAAAAAGAGGAAGGTAAAGAAATAAAGGAATGAAAACCACCAAAAAGTAAAATTGGAAAAATTGTTCATTTTGTTTATCAGGACACCAAAACAGAGAATTAAAACAGGATGATATGCCAGTTCTGCTCTTCTTGGAGAATAAAAATTTGCTTTGGATTATTTGAAAGAGTTTTTAATGTTTTAAAGGGCAGCAGGGAGCCTCTGAAATGGCACTGGCCTCCTCCTGTGCCTTTGAACCTTTTTTTTGCATGCATGAAAAAACAAAAATGAGTGAAACCCCTTAAAAGGGTAATGCAATGAAGAATTGCTTAGTGCTGTAAAGGAAATAACTGATATACTTAGTCGTGAGGTGCAAAGAAAGATAAGAACTCAGTTCTGAGTCTCTCAAAGCCCTTTTTAATTTGAGATAACTATGTGCCATGGACACTTGGTAGGGGAGACATTTTGGTTGTGTAGAAGGCTTGGCATAGCTATAGATCTGCTTTTTCATTAAAAACTGACTTTGTATCTGGACAAAATTCTGTACTCCTTCCTTAGTTGCTTTCAGCCTCCAGGCAGAAAATTTTTTCTCATCTGTCTTCTTGATCCTCTTGTTTCGGTTTTATAGGTGGGGAAAAAAGATCAGCTCATAAACTTTGTTTGCATCATCACTAGCTTAACCACAATTATGAGGTAACTCTTGATTTTTGGCTGATCCTTGAGGAAATAACCACCCACATTTCAGGAACTCCTTCCCTTAATTACATCTTTAAGACCCACAGGTAGTTTCCTGCTCTACCAGTGTTGTTGCCACAACCATCCTGGTTGATGGTGCAGGTGCTGCCCGATCCCTCTGCTACCCCTATTCCTGCCTCTACCACCAGCAAAGGCAGTGTACCAGCCCTGGGAGTGGTGGTGCAGGACTTGCAGTGGCAGAAGAAAAATCTTTTTCCCCTAAATCTTGTCAGTCCTGCATCAAAAGACTGCTAGTGTTGTTGAAAATTGTCAGGTTCTCTCCTCTTGTTGTGCATCTGCCATAAGATAATCATACTCTAAATCCCATAAGGAATTTCTACCTATCCACCCATCAATTTGCTGGTTCTTGCCATTTCCATGGCTTCTGCAGCTGGAGGAAGTGCCAGGTAACTTAGGAAGCAAGGGACAGTACCTTTAAGCATGGGGATTCAGTGGGAAAATTCACACTGAGAGATCTCTTCTGTTCACCTTCACTAATCACCAAGTGGTAGCAAATATTCCTGATCAGACTGTCATTAAGGGAAGTTTCTTGGCATTTTCTTAAAAAGCTTAATTCTATAAAAGAAACTTCAACCAAGTTACTGCAGGGGCCTCTGGTTTCTCAGCTTAATTACCAGGCACAGCAGTCATGGTAAGATGAGACACCTTTTTAGTCTTTCCTCAACTCACAGTGGAGATGCAGATCTAAAATATGCCTTTTAATGGGCACCTCCCTCTCATGAAAACCAGGAGAATTTTTATATTCTTTCCACCAATTTAAATACCTCTAGGTCTTCAGAATTTACACAACCTCCAAGAAGGCTTATCAGAAAAATTATTCCATTCTGGCTTTCCCTCCAGTGAGTAATGCTTACCACTGCAAACCTACAGAGGGGAAAAAAAGAAAGATTAAGGCAGAAGTAGCTCATCAGGTCTCACAGCCTCCTCCATAGGACTACTCTTTGTCTGTATGAGTGTATTGTGGGATGAGAAACAGCCGAGCACCAGATAGAATCAGGCTAAAAAAATCTTATGTCAAGTGCCAATGGTAAAGTTAGAATGGAGGCAGAGCTTGTTTGTCTGGGAAAACACTGCCTACTGATAAGTAATTATTTTTCTACCTGAAATTCTAGATTTGGTAAGAGATTGCAATCAATAAGTCCAAGGAGGAATATTTTTAGACATCAATAATAACAAACCTGGGAATCTGAAGTTTTAGATGCAGCAGTGATTGTATACAGAAATTAAATAAAATAAAAAGGTTGAAAATAATCATAGTTTACATCCACACCATTATTATGTGATCAATATATCAATGTCAAAGCTATGGGGCTGTTGATTATCTTTCGGAGAGCTCATAGTTTAGAAATACCAGCTGACTGAAAAACTGCAAGCTTAATTTCAATACTTGTAAAGATTTCTAGGAAAGCTTCTCCAAATAACAATCGTGTAACCCTGTCTTAAGTTGTGGTGTTTAAATTA